TGCCTTCCAATTTAAAAAATAATACATGTTCTCTATTTTTGATAGTCTAATAAGTATGGTCTTCTAAGTTCTTTGAGGAAAATAATAGTCTGTGACTTTAATAGGAATTTCTGAGTGTCTGGCTTCCCACTAGCTGATTTTCACCCAGAGGTGGTGGCCCTGCACCTGGCTGTAGAATACTAGACCCAGCTTTGACCACGTGCGTTATGGCTATACACACATTCCCCACATTTATCAAGCGTTTTAGTTCTGGGATCATTTGTGCTTCTCTTTGGTCTTCTCTTTCAGTGATTTCAACACATACACAGGGATCCTTCCAACCCTGGCTCATGGTTACTCACCTGCACCCTGAAATAAACTTGACCTCAATTGGCTTCATTACAGCCCACCAAGGATGAATGAGCGGAATTCTGATGTATTACTTGCACTTCCCTTCTACTTCAAATAAAGTTACCTTGCTTCTTTTACAAATCTGCAAGAGTTGGGACTGGGGAGATGGCCCAGCCGTTAAGAGGACTCAGCAGTTAAGAGCAGTAGCTGCTCTTTCAGAGGACCCAGGTTCAGTTCCCAGCACCCACATGGCGGCTAACCACCATCTGTAACTCCAGTTCCAGGGGAATCCAACACCCTCTTCTGCCTTCCTCGGGCATTGCACGACACGGGTGCATTTACATACATGCAGGCAATACACTCATACACGTAAAAAATAAAATATTGAAAAAAATTCAAATCTGTGAGAGTCCTTATTTTCAGTGCTTTAGATAAGAGGCCAAGGGATCTTGAAAGACCTGGTCCAGACCCTGACCACCAGTAGCTAGAGGATAGCCTCTGGGAGTTCGTTTTCCCCTTCCATTGTGAGTTCCAGGGACGGAACTAAGACTATCAGGCTCGAGCAGCAGGCAGTTTTACCCGCTGAGCCATCTCACCAGTCTTTTATTTTCTCATTTTAAAAACACTTTCTTTGACTCACTTTCCTATTGGCCATCATTCCATTTCTCTGAAGACAAAAAACCAAAAACCAAAAACCAAAACCCTTCAAAAGAGTTGCTTATACTTCTTTCTCCCTTCCCATTTCTCTTAAACACATTAAAGCCAAACTGCTACCTCTACCAAGACTGTTCTAGTCAGGACCCCATTTCTTTGTTTCTCTTTGGAACAAAATTATTCTTTCCTTCCAATTTCTTTCCTTCAGTTCTCTTTAAAATCTATTCCAGTCCCCACCATTGCCGCTGAAAGCTCTCCTGCTCGCTCACTGACGTTTTTGTTGTAGAATCCAATGGTCAATTCTCAGACTTCCTCCTCATGAGCCTAACAGCACCCACAGCAGAACCCCTCCCTCTGTGCAGCTTCGATTTCCAACACACTGCACCATCTTGGCTTCCCTCTTGCCTTCCTGGTCTCTCTGTCTCCTTTCTTGGTTTCGCTTCTTTTTCTTCTTCTTGACCTTCAACTTTTGAAGATTACAGGCCTTAGTTCATCAATATTCACTCCTTTGGAGCTCTCACCCAGCCTACTGGTTTAAATTACCATGCATTCCCATTATCCCCCAATATCTGTATCGTTATCTCAAACCTGTCCTCAGCTCCAAACTCGTAATGTATACTTGGCATTGGAACTCTGCTGTTCAACAGTCACCTCCAGTTTGGAATGCCCAAAGCAGAGGGTTTTTCTTGCAAAGATGTACTCCCATCACAACTTTCCCAGTCTCTGCTTCTAGCAACTCCATCCTACTAGGTGTGCTCAGGTCAAAATCTTGGGCATCATCCTTGGCTTCTCTCTTTTATACCTCACTAGCCAGTTCACAGAATCATACCAACTATATGCCATACCCATCACCTACCTCTGTCAATTGTCATCTGCTAGGAGAGACATGCTTCACCTGGATTACAATAATTTCTTAAAAGACAGCCCCCACCCCGTACCAATGGTTCCATATGGTCTATGTTTTACCCAAAGCCAGCGTGATCTATGCAGAGAATGCTCAAAATCCTATAGTTATTTCCCATTTTACTAAGGAAAACAAAACAAAACAAAACAAAAAACCCCAAGCACTAGCTTTCTAGTTCCTTGAATACCCAGGCAAAGACCTACTTAGGGCCTCTACTTAGCTCTTCCTCCTCCAATGCACTTCTCCTTAGCTATCAGCTAAGGCCCTCAGCGTCTTAAATCTTTGCCAAAATCTTACTTTTTCAATGAGGTTTCCCTTTGGCCACCCAATTAAACAACATAGTCTGTTCCCCACTCCCAAAATTCTCAATTTTATTATTTATTGCTTGCTTTTTCCATAATATTTGCAACTTTCTAATGTCCCACTGTTTCCCTCCCTGCTAAAATGTAAACTGTAAGAGGGAAATTTGTTGTTGTTCATGGATATGTAACATGGAACATACTAGGTACACAACAAGTATTTATTGGATGTTTAGTAATGTAAAAATGAATTGTTTCTTGAAAGATTGGTAGCATTTGTCTCAAAATCATTTGAACCTCATACAGTTTTTGCGGACCTTTTTCCAAATTCTTGATTCAATTGATTTATGGTCTCTGGGTCTATTTAGGTTTTCTATTACACATCAGTGTTGATGAATTATGCAGTTCTATGAAGTTATTATATATTTCGTTTAGGCTTGAAACTGTATTGGCAGAAAGCTGCCCAATGTGCTCTCTTAATTTAGTCAGCGCTGTGACTGTGTTTTCATTCCAAGACTGGCTTTTTTGTCTTGCTCCTTTTAGTACCAACTGCTGGTGATACTCTGTATCATGGATTTCTCCTATACCTTTTCATATTTTATTTATCCAGGCTCTGTTGATCTTTTTTTTTCCCCCTGTTGATCTTTTACACATTACCCAAGTTATATTCTGTCACAGAATGTTCACTCAGCATTCCTTCTCCTTACCATCGGGGAGGATTTTATAGTCGGGTCTCGAAGTTAGGTGACACGGATTGACTATTTCTGGCTAATGGCATATGCTACTTAGATGGACATATTTAAAAACGTATAGATAGGCAAGATGATCTTTTCAGTAAACACGGTTGGGGAAATTATATTCATAAGAAAAAAAAAAACCAAACCAAGATCTTTATCTAACCATTTTTTAAAAAATCAGTTCCAGATGAATGACAGATATGTGAAAGGTCTTGAAGAGATAATTTTTAAAAAGCAGGGCACAAAACCCACTAAAGGGGAAATGATAAACGATAGTGAATAAGTTGGGTGTGGTGGCTCACCCCTGTAATTCCAGAGCTTGGAAAGCTGAGGCAGGAGGATTGTTGTGAGTTCAAGGCAACTCTAAGCCATGAACTGAGCTCTAGGCCAGTCTGGTCTAAAGTGTGAGACACTTGCAGGGTGTGGTGGCACACGCCTTCCATCCTAGCACTCAGCAGGCAGAGGCAGGCAGATCTTTGTGAGATTAAGGCCAGCCTGGTCTACATGATTAGTTACAGGCTAGCTGGCGCTACAGGGAGACCCCGTCTCAAAAAACAAACAGGGTGAGACACTTGTTCAGACACACACATACACAAAGACACACATGGACCACCACCCACAAGAAAAACAAGTAACACAAAGTGGGAAGATTTTCAATACATACATCTGGATACGGACTAAGTATCTAACCTGTACAAAGAATTCCTAAAGATCAAGTATGAAGGGCTGGTGGCATACCTGAGTGGTAGAGCAATTGGGTAGCATGCCACCTTCCTACCCCCAAACATTAATATATATCAACACATAGTTTTAAATAATGAGAAAAATGTGGGACTGGAGAGATGGCTCAGCAGTTAAGGGCACTGGCAGCTCTTGCAGAGGATGGGGTTCCATTCCCAACATCCACATGGAGGCTAAGAACCACCTGTAATTCCAGTTCTGAGGGAACAGACGCCATCTTCTGGCCTCCATGGGCACTGCACACATGTAGTACATATACACACAGGCAAAACACTCATACACACAGAATAATTTTTTTAAATGGGGAAAATGTAGACATTGCACCAAAGAAGTATGTGGCCTGGTCTAGTGTGGCATGGTAGCTCATGCCTGTAATTCCACTACCTCTGAGGCTGAGGCAGGACGGCTATCAGTTCAAGGCCAGTTAGGGCTACACACTGAAAACCCTGCGTCAAAACAACAAAACCCACGTTGTCAAACGACTAGAAAACACGTGTGAAAAGTTCTCAGTTCATTAGGTAAAAGCTATCACACGGGTACCATTACAGTTCAAGCTACCGAGCAAGACTGGATCCTGAGAGGTGCAGTCCGGCGAGACTGTGCGGTGTGCCACGAGATCCTGCCCAGCAACGGCCCAATGGTCCTTCTGCTCCACGCTTGGAGACCGGAAGGTGCCCTCCCGGGAATCTGGCTGCTTCCAACATGGGCTCCATTGGTGGCACAGAGAAGACCCCTCTCCTCCACACCCCCAGCCTCACGCCTCCCGACTGTGGCCCGCCTCAGGGGCTCGGTGAGGCGACGCAGCCGGCGGCCGAGGCAGGTGCAGGCAACAACATGGCGGTGGAGGCAGGTGCGCACAGCAACATGGTGGCCGAGGCAGGTGCTGTCGAGGCAGGTGCGGGCACGATGGCGGCCTGAGGCACGTGGCGATCGCAAGGCGGCGGAGACAGGCGCGGTTAGCAACAGGGAGGCAGAGGCAGGCGCGGTGGAAGCAGGAGCCTGCAGCGTAGGGGCCGGGGGTCGCCCAGCCCGCCTCAGGCAGAGCGTGGCGCCCCCTGGGAAACTGCGGTCGGTGAGGAGACTCCGCAGAATGCCAGCGGCGGGGATCACGACCACGGAGTCGCCCGCGCGCTGCAGTTGGTGGCCGGGCCAGGCACCGAGGGCCCGGAGGCCTCAGCCGTCCGCGACGGCGGCCCAGGTGGGGCGAAGGCCCAGGAAAGCAGCGGCGCGGAGCCGCCTGCCCGCGACCGAAAGGCGGAGGTCGAGAAGGGGGACGACGCCACCCCGGCATCTGGCGCGGCCGAGGAAGGGGCGGAGAAGCCTGTGGACCCCGGGCCGCCCAACTTGGTCCTGCAGATGCGGTCTCTGGAGGCCATCCAGGTGGACCTGAACTCCGTGAATGCGCAGGCCGACCGGGCCCTGCAGCAGCTGGAACGCAAGTTCGGGCAGATCCGCCTGTACTACCTGGAGCGCCACAACTACGTCATCCAGAGCATCCCGGGCTTCTGGGTCATCGCCCTTCGAAACCACCCGCAGCTGTTCGAGATGATCACCGGCGATACATAACCAATCTGGAGGTGAAGGAGTCCAGACTCCACAGAGCAAGTTGCAGGTTCAAGTTCTTCTTTCGAAGAAACCCCTTCTTCAGAAACACGCTGATTGTCAAGGACTATGAGGTCAGACCCACAGGCCAAGTGATATCGCTGTCCACGCCGATCTTATGGTGACCTGGTCATGAGCCCCAGCCCTTCACGCACGGCAATCAGGATACCACCACGTGCAGCTTCTTTACCTGGCTTTCCGACCACAGCCATCCCGAGCGTGACAGGATTGATAATGTTACCATATTATCAAAGAGGACCTCTGGCCAAACCCACTGCAATACTACCCGCTCCATGCAGGGGCAGCTAGAGCCAGGCGTCACCAGATAGAGCCTATGGAGATTCCCAGGCCCTTTGGCTTCTAGTCTGGTTAACCTCTGCTCTTGTGATTCCTCCCACACAGGGTGGTAGATTCTGAAAGGCTGGTGGTGTTTGGCATCTTGACGTGGGTGCTCTATACATGAGTGTATTCAATTTGTGAAATTCCACAAACACTTTTCTGTGCATCTAGTATACTTGAGTAAGGAAAGAGGAGTCAAAACCAAAACCAAAAGAAACTACAAAATATTAGAAAATGTCCAACTTAAAACGGTTTCAGATCTCTTTGGGTAGGTCAATAATCCATATATGAGAATTCAACTAAGATTACATAGTGTGTCACTGTCAAATGGCTAAAATGCATTTTATAAGAATAAAAATGTTCTGCTTTCTAGACATGGGCCATGAATATTTTAGTATTTACCATACTCTGCTCATTCAGTTGTAAAGTTACTCATAATGCTTATAATGGTTCATTTCAAAGCATAGTTCTTCTAGCTAAATCAATCATAAAACCCACATATAATTTAGTTCTGTTGTCAAGGATAATGTTACCCTGAAACTAAGCTGCATCATATACTTTTAAAAACAATATTATTTTAAATTATATGTGTATGTGTCTATGTTTGGATATGTGCATATGAGTGTCGGTCCCCACAAAAGCCAGCAGCATTGGATCCCCCTGGAGATGGAGTTACAGGTGGTGTGTGAGCCACCTGACCTGGGTTCTGGGAATCCAATTTGGGTCCTCTGTGAGACAAGCCACCACTCTTACTGCTGAGCCATGTCTCCAGCCCCTAACATCTCTCCTTTCCTCTCCTCCCCTCCCCTCCCCTTCTTTCCCCTTTCCTTTCCTTTTTTCTTTTTTTTCTGTGACAGGGTCTCACCTTGTATCCCTGACTGATTTAAAACTTGCTCTGTAAACCAGACTGGCATCTCACAGAGATCTGCCTGGCTCTGCCTCTGTGTGCTGAGACTAAGGGTATGTGCCACCACACCAGGCCTTATCATATGCTTTTAAAGAGGTCTTTTTAGGCCTCCCTCTTAGACATAAACATATTTCACGTGATAACTGAGATTTAAGAACAATTTCAGCTCACACTTTGGCACATGCAGCAGAAGACAGTGGTGTCAATAGCAACAGAGTCTTCTGTAGAATTGTAATAGAAAAATCATTTGGTATATAGCAAGGTATCTGAGAGATAAGGATAATTTAAGTGTTGGAAATATAGTCTTTTTGCATACAAGATAAAAAATGAAGATGAATTTACTGCCTTTGAAGCAAGATAGACAATTAGGTTTTTAATAACTTCTACTTACCTATTTATGTCACATTATAATTTTAAGTGGTATCCACTGACTTCTCAATGGCAAAATTTTCTCTTTGCTATTGGTAGGTAAAGCATAAGAGGTAGAGAATAATTTATATAAAAGGTGGAGAATTCAAGTTTAATCTGTTTTCCCAGAATTGATCAGAAAAGATTGTAAGGTTTTCACATTTAGTATCAAACTAGTCTACAGCATTAAATAACAGACATGCACTTGAGCTACAAATCAGGTCCCCTGGATTCTAGGTGCTCTGCACACACTAGGCTGAAGTAGATCACTTAATCCCAAGGATATAGCTTTCATGGTCTTTTTAAATGTGGAGACATGATTTCTTCTAAATCATAAAGTGTTAACTATCCTATGCTTTCCACAAAGTTCCAAGCCTCCTCTGGCTTTGCTTTTTGGTACCATTCCTAAGCAACCTCGCCCTGGGAGAGTTCATCCTACCACATTCCAGATAAGAGTTCTTACATTGGAATCTCTCTGTTTCCAGCATTGCTATTTCCATATTTATTTTCAATCCCTTCCTGCATTACTGGAAACCTCCAGTCTGCCCTTCCTGAATCTTAGCTCTCTTTTCTCCATCTTTCATACTATTGGCAGTGATTAGATACATTTTGTTCAAATTTTCTGGTGAAGACAACAATGCCTGCAGCTGAACCAAGTCCCGCCCAACGTTCTTGCCAGAATCCATTCACTTGGGACTCCTTCAGCCACCCGCCTGTGTGCCTTGGCTCATAAGTGTCCCTCATCTTGGGTTCTCTTGCTCTCCTCCATATCTTATAAAAGTAGAAAGAAATTCTTAGGATATCCTACCATTCTTTCTGGAGGCAGGGGCAGGCTTCTGTGAGTTAGAGGCCTGTGCTGGATAGCTTTAGTGTCAACTTGACACACTTGGGTTGAGGCAGCCTCAACTGGGGAATTGCCTCCACTGAACTGACCTATGGACATGTCTATGGGGCATCTTCTTGATTGTTGTGTGATGTGGGAGGGCCCAGCCCACTGTGGGTGGTGCCACCCCTGGGCAGGTGGGCCTGTGTTGCATAAGAAAGCAGGCTGAGCAGGGGCCAGGGGAGCAAGCCAGTAAGCAGTGATCCTCCATGGTCTGTGCTCCAGTTCCTGCCTCCATGTTCCTGCCCTGAGTTCCTACCTTGGGCTCCCTGATGAACTTGACTTGGGAGATGTAAGCCAGATAAACCCTTTCCTCCCTATGTTGGTAATGGTCAGAGTGTTTTGTCACAGCAATGAAAAAACAAACCAGGACAAGGCCAATCTCTTCTACATAGTGAGTTCTAGGCCAGTTAGCTACAGCTATGTAGTAACATTAGCGAGACCTTGTAGCAAAACAAAACAAAAAACACTTTCTATAATAAATAAAACCCTCTACCTCTTATAGCATATGCATTGTAAAGCATTTGTCCCATAGAAATTTATGTGCCATTTTATGTGCTAGAAGTTCATATATATAAACTGTTGCCTCTGCTGGGACTAAAGGCATGTGCCACCACACCCAGCTCAGAGGTTTATATTTTCACCTCTCAACTTTAAATTCTTTAAGAACCAAGATCATGTTTCAGTTATATCTTAAACACAATTCCTGTCTTCAGCCTACAGTCTAGCACAAAGAACAAGCAATGTACAGTAAGAGAAATACTAAAGTAGATACAAGCATCAGGTTCAGTGGGATCACAAAACAGGGAAATTCTCCCATCTAAGAACTGGACTGTCAGGGGTTTCTTATGAGGAGTGGCTTTCAAGTTACAGTCTAGGGTCTCTCCTCTCCTCTTCCTCCCCTACCTCCTCTTTTTTTTTCCTTTCTTGATACAAGGTCTTGTTATGTAGCGTTGGCTAGCCTTGAACTTGTAATGATACTCTTGCCTCCCACATGTTAGGATTATAGGGGTGTGCCACCATGCTTGGTGCTCTGCCTTTTCATCTGTAGATCCCTAACGCATAATATTATGTCTAGCACAAAACAGATCCACCCAAATTACTTAATGAGTGTGTAAATAAAACGTTCTCAAACCCTTTGTAGCTCTGAACCTGTAGAAGAGGAATCATACTGGTCTTCTATGCTTCATCTCTTGTATGAGCAATAGATCAATTGGCAACTGGCTAATGAAAGGATAGTAAAAAAATTAAAAACATAGTTTTAGTCTTCAAGATTTAGATAAGATCAATTAGCAACTGGCTCATGAAAGGATAGTAAAAAAAATTAATAACAGTTTTAGTCTTCAAGATTTAGATAAATGTTAATTTTTTTAAATTAGTTGGGTTTCCAAAGAATTATTTTTTTTTCTTTTTTTTTGATCTAAGACAGTGTCTCCTGGAACTTGCCATGAAGACCAGGGTGGCCTTGATCTCACAGAGATCTGCCTACCTCTGCCCGCCAAGCTTCCAAATAATTATTAAGTAGAGACAGAGGGGCTGGAGAGATGGCTCAGCAGTTAAGAGCACTGACTGCTCTTGCAGAGGACCCGGGTTTGATTCCCAGAACCCACATGGTGGCTACAAACTGTCCTTAACTCCAGTTCCAGGGGAAACTGAAGCCCTCTTCTGACCTCTGCGACATTGCAGGGCATGGGTATACTCATGTACATGCAAGCAATACACTCATGCACAGAAAATATTAAATATTTTTTGAAAAAAACACTGGTTGTTCTTGTAGAAGACCTGGGTTCAAATCCCAGCACCCACATGGAAGCCAACAGCTGCCCATAACTCCAGTCCCAGGGGAGCCAAGAACCTCTTCTGACCTCCTCAGGCATTGCACGACAAAGGGTGCACTTACCTACATGCAGGCAATACACACATACACATAAAGTAAAAATAAATAAAATTTTTTTAAAAAAGTAAAGCCAGAAAAGCAAATGCTGTTTAAATTCTAACAAATGTTTGTTCTAACTCAGAAAGGATGCTATATGAATAAATTAGTTATTTTGCAATTATAGGCCCAAACTGAGTCAAGTTGTTGCATTAACACATTTTTAAAAATTTTTATTTATGTGTTTGTGTCTGCTTGTCTGTATGTGCACCACTTGTGTGCGGTGCCTGTGGAGGCCAGAAGACAGTGTTGGAAACCCTGGAATTGAGATTCAGTTAGTTGTTTGTGTTGGTGTGGGTATTGCAAACTGAACCTGAGATCTTGGAAAGAGCAGCAAGTACTCGTAACCGCTGAACCATTTCTCCGGCCCCAATCTGTCTTACACTTTAATCTCTAAAGCAACATAAGAATATGGTAAAAACAAGCAGCTTTATTGCAGCTCTTAACAACAGCTATCATTTACTGCACCTTCTGTTATGCTAGCTATTGTGCTAAGACTTGATGTGCACTGTTCTCTTAATCCTTACATAACTCTATACCATATTCCCAATTCCAGTTTGCAAGAGACTCAGCTGGATATTACTTGAGTCCAGGCGCCCAACCTAGCAGTGAGTTGTAAAGCTCCAATTCAAAGCCAAGTCTATCTGACTCCAGAGTGTGAAGACTACACATAGACAGAAATAGCTTTTGTTTTGCAGTAGAAAATTATTAATCAAAATAGCTGGCTTAGATTTTTTTCCCAATTGTAGACAATTTTTCTCAACATATGAAAATTTTTCTGATTTTGGTAGTCCATAATGAAGTGAAGGCACAGGATTAATGTACATTAGAAATGCAACACTGTAAGATACCATCAGCACTTTTTGATTTGGTGGCTGTGGTTGTTGATAGGGT